GGTGAGGGCAGGGAGAGCCAGAGAGGAGGACAGGGCAGCGGGTGAGGGCAGGGAGGAACCTGGAGAGCCCTCCGAGACCCCCTGAGCCCACCTGGAAAGAGTAGTCTATCCCCTAGAACCCACCAGAAGGCCCCATGTCTGAGCAGCACTGCTTCCCTGACAGGCTACCAGAAGCTCTCAGGTGAAATTCGGACCAAAGAAGAGCTTTGCCGGTATCCTCCGTTAACACCCACGAGAGAACTGCGAGGTCATTACTTCTGTTCCCCAAAGTAGGATTTATTTTGTCTGAGAGGGTTTTTTTAATAACTTCCCTGAAAACCACTCACCCAGATTTTTTTTTAAAGGAAGAGCTAAATTAAGGCATAAAAGATTTAGTCGGCCAGAATGAACTGGCAGGACATCCCCAGAGGGGCGGGCTGTCCAAAGGCATCCTGTCGGCTGGGTCTTGCTCCCTCCTCTCCACCACACCCGAGATAATCTAGGGTTCCCTAAGACAGATCCAGGAAAGACAAGAACGCAGGCGTCCCCGGCCCTGCTTTGGATTCCTGGAAGTCCCGCTCCTGCCTGCTCCCCACCACCCCGAGCAGACATCCTGGATGGAGCCGACTGCTGCACAGGGAGCGGGGGAGCAGCAGCCGTGTGTTTGCAGGTGCTCGCCACGTTCACACACCTTCACCAGGAGGTCGTGGACGCTGTGCGTACACAGTGCTAGAGGGAAAGAGGCCAGACCCCCCCGGGCTTCTCTGGCCCACTCAGCCCTAGCCTCACGTGTAGGACCAACAGCCTCCACCTCCTGCCACGGGCTGCTGTGGCCTGTTGGCTTACTGGCACGGAAACAGGACGGCCACCGGAGCAGCATGCACACTGCCTGCCCCATCCTCTGTGTGTGCCAGGACCCACCTTTGCGCTGCTCATCAATGTTATATCCATAGTTGACTCGCCCACAATTCTCCACCAAGATCCTCAGCACGGTGTGACCCTGCCAGGAACACAGTGGCCCATGATGACAGCCCGATTACCCACCAGACGGTCCCAGCTGCAGCTCGGGACTTGTTTGTGGAGCCCAGTCCTTTCCTGCACTCTGAGGGTGCGAGTGAGGACCCAGCCGCTCAGACAGCAACCCCCGCCCCTCTCCATCTGCAGCTTGTGGCTGAGCAGCCCCCCCGTCTCCCAGCCCTTTCTATGTGGCTCCCACTAAACTCCCTCGGAAATAGCTGGGGCCAGCCATCACCCCCTCCTAGGATAACAAACCTGGACCAGGGGGATGACAATCTTTGTGTTTTTATAGTCCAAGAATCCTATGGATACTGTGTTCACAAATACCTGCCAGAGCGAACAGAGGAAGAGAGGTCAACAGGAGGGGAGGGGAGAGTGACTGACCTCTGCTAAGCTAAGAAGGGGGCAGCACAGAGTGCGTGCCGGCCGAGGAGGGGTCAGCTAGGGAGAGAACCAACACGCGCACGCTCGCACAGCTGAGAAGGATCGCACAGCCAACAGGCCTGGGCGGTTTTAACATGCTGGTAACCACTGATTCTAATGGGGAAGCAGATGTACACTGCAGAGCTGATAATTAGGAGGTCACAGGAGCTAAGAAGAGGTGCTCCTACCTGCCCCCGGTCACGCGCATGACCGCTGAGAACGCCAGACGAGGTGATGGTGGTCTCGTACAGAACGTAGCCGAAGGACTGGCCGTTCCCCTCGTTGACCGGCAGGTTCTCCATGTTGATGGGCTTTTCAGACTTGATTGGCTACAGACACAAGAAACAGGAGCTCAGGGCCAGGCTCGGGAGGGCAGAGGCAGCAGCCGCCTCCTGTGTCTTCTGGGATGCAGGGTGGCAGGCAGCCCTGCCCAGGGGTGGACACACGGGGGCGGGAGGCAGGGGGCTCTGACTTCTCATCACTCTGAGCCCCTGGCTCACCAGGTCACAGGCACGAGGGATGGGACCTAGGGTAGAGAGCTGCAATTGAATGGCCTTGCAGCTCTTGGAGCCACCATTGTCTCTGCACCAGGATACCCCGTGAGCCCGCTGTAGCCGGTGCCCCCTCCATAGGGGAGGAGGCCACTCCTCCGCTCCTCTGCCCCCCTCTCTGACACTGGAGAAGGGAGAGGCCCATGCCCCCACCCACACCTGCCCTCTCTTCTCCCAGTTTCCTTGCTTACTCCACTCCACTCTCTCATATAAACTCCTCCTCTCCCCTGTGATTCTAAGTTGGAGAGTGGACCTCAAAGCCACCAAGGGTGGGCTTCCCTCTCCCCAGCACCCCTTGACTGCCCCACAGCACTCACCTCCCCTATGTACTTCAGAGCATCCCACAGGGACAAGTAGAAAACTGGCACCATCGGTTCATACACAGTCTTGGGAAGAGGGTCAGGCGGGGGAGGGAGGGGGCCGTCTGCTACACAGACACACAGTGAGACAAGTGGCCAGGTTGTTACTGCCCATTTCATCCCCCACCCAGCTCCCACCCACGGCCCCATGTGCTGCCTCCTCCCACCAACAGGTAAACCGGGCAGGTGTGAGGACACATTCAGGCCTCCACTGGAAGGCAGGGGCAGGTGGAGGGTTCATATCCTCCAGGTGAAAGGAGGAGCCTGAACACCCACAAGCACAGAGGGGAAGTTGGCAGGACGCAACTGAGATGGGACAGTGAGTCTCTCAGACCCCCCCCCCCCCGTCCTCCTCCAGGACGTGCCTGCACACAGACCGGCCAGGGTTGAGGCAGGATGGCAAGGAAGGAAGGAACTTGTTAGGGGTCTTGGAGCAGAAGCGAGGGTCTGCTGGGTACCTGAGAGGGAATCAAAGAAGTCCCGAAGCTTGATGTACTTGGGCGTGTAATCTCCAGCCTCTGTCAGCACGGCATCGTAGTCTGCAAGACACCGGGCCCTGCCAAGGTCATGCCCGTCCCCAGGAGGTCATATGCAGCCCACAGGAGGGGGAGAAGCTGGAGGAGGGCAGCAGCCTCGTCTCAGCAGCGTGGGTGGCCAAATACTCTAAATACCAAACACCACCCAATGTGACAAAAACTGCCCAAGATCCCAGCAGGACTACATTGCTAGCTGCCAGTGGAATTTCTACTCTCTGGGGACTCTCATCCTATAGGTGGGTAGGGTCACACCACCTCAAGGGTCCAGGGAGAGGGGAGGAGGCTGCATCCCTCCTGCTGACCTGAGTGGCCTCTTCTCACTTCCAAGAGGCCTCTCGGCAGAGTAGCCAGCTCCTGGAGCAGCGACTGGCCTAAACTTCCCACTGCTCAGTCTGAAGGGAGCATGCAGGCAAGGCCTCGACCTTCCCGTGTACTTTAGAGCCAGTGACATTCAGGGTGCAGGAAGTTATCCCTAAGGGCCCCTCCACACCCACGCTGGGGCGGGGCTGGGCCGTGGCGCTGAGACGACTTACCGTAGCTGGTGATGTCGGACCTGTAGTCCTGGAAGTGCATGGCTCCATTTATGAAGCCAAAATTGGTGCCTCCATGGAACATGTAGAGGTTGATGGAGGAGCCGGTGTCCACGATGGCAGATACGGTCTTTAAAACCTCTATAGGAGGAGACAGAAGCATACACGGAGGAGTCAGTATCTGAGCAAGCTGACTCCCGCAGCTCTCGTCCTCCCAAATCCAAGCCTGAAGGCCCGTGTCCTCATTCTGTTCCTCAGCACTCACTAAAACCCCAATCGCAGATGAGGAGGGAGAAGGAAGAGATGGGCCAGGGTCATAGGCCCAGGCTGCCTCCGACTGCCTGGCTGGCACCCGGCTCCACCTCGCATCTCACTTAGAACAAACACCAAGAGATGGGGTTCATCGGCAGAGATCAAACTCTGACCATCTCCCCTCCTTTACTAGGAAATGAACCATGACATGAAAAGATAATATCAAAGGAGAAGAATAAATGGCTCATAAGTACATGTCTTAAGAGTGTAAATCAAAGAGATGCAAACTCAAGATGACACAGCAAACAGTCCAATATTAAACATTATCTGGACACTCAGCTGGTGAGTGGGTGGGAAGTGGGTTTTCTCACTGGATAGTGCTGAGTAAACATTGCTACGGTCTCTCTGGAGGGCAGCTTGGTGAATACCCCAGAACTGCACTAACAGAGCGATTCTACTGATTATCACAGGGAAATGACATGCCAGGTATGCAAAACCACACGGTCAAGGGCCCCCTGAACTGGCTTTCAATTAACAAAACCACTGGAAACAATCTAGGACGCTGGGCCAATACGTTGTGGTATAGAATAGGGTTCTCTGTGTTCTCTAAACAGTGATTAAGTCTACACTTAGCAGTACAGAAAGCCATCTATAGGTGCCATTAACTGGCACACGCAGGTGGCACAAAGCACAGCATGACCACACCTGCCACATCTGTATGTGCATACAGGTAGGGAGGTACAGAGAACTGGCCGCATGGCTTACAGCAGCGGTTCTCAGCCTGTGGGTTGTGACCCACAGGAACTGTATTAAAGGGCTGCGGCATGGTTGAGAACCACTGGCTTACAGGCAAATGTTTCCTCTGTGCTCTAAGATTTGTATTTCTTCTTTATTCATTTTTGCACGTGTTCTGAACGTTTGCAATTGGGGGAGCATTACTTTTCTCATTACAAAAACATTTTAAAAGCAATGTTAAAAATCCTACCATTCACTCTAAGTGTCACGACAAATGACTTGGGAATATCAAGAGCTGATTGCTACACCCCACAGCCGAGTCTCATCCACTAGCAGGTTGTTTGAAACTTCCTCTTCCCTCTCAGGCCGACACCCACACTGGACGTGGGCACTGCAGAATACTCACCAGAAGAATCCAGGATATTGTGAGGGCCTCCCCACGAGTCAAACCACCCGGTCCAGTACTCAGTCACCATCTTGGGCTGAACCCCCTGGGCACCACAAAGTGATAGTTAGAAGGGCAGACTGACCAAAAGAGAAAATGAATGCCCAAGACCCCCCAACTCTTCCCTGGCTGCACACCCCTTGCTTAGAGGCCTTTGGAAGCAGAGCACAGATGACGGTCGATCTACCTGCACCAGCTCACCCACCCTGCGTGGGCTCCATGCCTGCAGGCACAGAGCGGCAGCAGCAGCTACCAAAGTCAATGCAACAGACCTGGATGGCTTAGTGTGGTTTTAGTGTCGCCTGCGTGCTAGGAAAAGACATTGGTTTGCCTTCCAGATCAAGCCAGGCTTTGCCTATCCTCTTCCAGGGAAGGAGGATGTTCTACCCAGGATAACTCTGAGGATAACTCTCAGAGGCCCACCAGGGACACACACCCTTCCTGTACTGCTTGACTTCAGCCAGAAGAGTCAGAGGCTACGGAGCGGGCCCCTTCCAAAGTCTGGCTTACTTGCAGTTTGCAGCAATTTTCTGAATGGAAAAAAGTCAGGGCCGTATAGCACAGCCATTCACTGCACAAGTTCTGCAGCCACAGTTTGGACTCATACCTTCGCGGGGACACCCAACAAGTGTCATTCTAGAACACTGACTTTGGCACAGGATGGCCCCCAGGAGGCAGAGATGATTCCTGGGATCATGCTTTGCTCCACCGTGTCTGCAAAGGGCCCGGAGCACGTGTGGGGGAGTGTGAGGACTGAGATGCCCTGGAGAGCCTCCCTCATTCCCTCAGTAACTGTACCAAGGCCACGCCTGTCAGTAACGGCCTCACACAAGGCGGCTGGATGCACATGTACAATGGAAAAACAGCAACCAAACCCGATCCAGAGTGAGGGGACAGACTTAGGGTCTGCTGGGTAGAAGGTACCAGCCATACCTGGGTAAAAGCTAAAGTGGTCCTGATAACTTTTTAGCTGGTGACTTGGGATTTTCTTTACGAGCTATCTACCTCCCAAGAAGAGAGGTGCAGACTGTGCCACATTTAAGTCACTAAAAAGGGAGGAGCAGATTCTGAGTCCTGTATCTCAGGAGTCTCCAGTGCCAGAAGTGGGCTCCTTGGCTCAAGTGTGCCAGGGCCAAGGAAAGTGGGTGCCCACTGTGGCCCAGCTCACTGCACAGTGGCCTTAAGAGATGGAGCTCTGCAAGCAGATGGTGCTAGAATTCCTAATCCCCTTCCTGACTGTCTCCCTCACCATCCAACAGTAATAACAGTAGCCAGCCCACCATGAGGGGACAGCTAATGAGATGGGACACACAAAGCCATTAGCACACGGCGCCAGCAGGTAGAAAGCACCCAAGAGACACTGGGATTATTCTCTCCAACACTGGGTGTGGACATTCAGGACCAGCAAGGTGCTAACGGACAGCCCAGAGTCAGCAGCCTGGGGCCGGAGTTGCACATTGAAGAGCCCTTGATTTAAACAAGGAAGTACCCAGGTCCCCGTCCTTACAAAACACAGACGTCTTTGGACTGCACGCAAACGCCTTCCATTAACAGGACAACCAGCCTAGAAAGCTCACATGTGGCTCACATGTGGCCAGCTGCATCTGCTGCTGGGTGCTTTCCAATGTCACCTCCTTGCAGCCCCAAGCAACCCGCGGAGTGGGTGCCGTGGGCTGCTACTCTCACCACCCGCACCAGCAGGAGAGTCACACAGAGAGCTTCCGTAGCTGCCCCCACCACACGCTGCAGCATGGCCAGGTGGCTGCCGGGGCAGCTCACAGTATCCTGGAGTTTGGCCACGCTCGGGCTCCTTTCAGCTTAGTTATGGGACAGTTATGTATCATACACCTCTCTGTTCCCAAATACGTCATACAGCCCACGAGGACAGAGGCCCTGTCATCTCTGTCACCTCAGTGATGAAGGGCAAGAGGTCCCCCCACCACTGCAGACATGAGGTGGGCACTCAGGAAACGCCGGAAGAAGGAAGGACAGAGGACGGAGGACGGGATCCGACCTGGATCCACTGACGCTTGCCTGGTCTGTCGCCAGAAGTCCACCTGGCGGCAGGTCCCATCCCGTCCCACCTTCTCCTAGGTCCCGTCCCGCCCATCCTAGCTGTCATCTATGTCATCCACACTGCCGTGGTGGTTACATCAACACACGTGGCCCTCCTCCTACGTGGGCTCACACTGATGCGGTGACTCCCTGTGGGTCCCCAAAGGCACAACCCCAGCTCTCAGAGGGTCCATCAGCTAGAATGGAAAACACAGCTCAGAACCTTCAGGGGCATCTGTGCTCTGTCAATACGGGAACCCTACTAGCTCCCCTCTAGGTCTATGGAGCAATGTGGACATGCAACAGGTGGGGGGATCTGGGGGTATCCACACCCTTCAAAGGCCCAGGGTGACAGGTGGGGCCTCTCAGTTCTGTGGGCAGGCTGCAGCTTAGCCCCAGTCACATCCATCTCCATAGGAGACACGTTCTCTACAGAGGTCAGTGAGAACAGGGGCTCTGTGAGTGCCCATCAATCCAACGGCCACAGACACACATCCAGAAACTCTCCTCTCTCTCCTGACCTGAGGGGACCAGGCTTCCTGTCTTGCTGATGACAATAATCGTTCTAGGACTGGAGGGGCCTTATAAACTAAGATCAGACCCCCGTGTGGTACAGGATGGGGAAGTGTTTCTGTTCTCCCCCAGTCCCTGGTAGCAAGTCTAGGGCTAGTAGAGTCCAGAAACCTAGTCAAGATTCCCCCCACCTCCCGTCAAGACCCCCCACCCCCACCCTGTCAAGGGCAATCTTGTGCCTATTGCATCAGGCCATGCAGCGGCACCCTGGAGTGGCTTCTCTGGGGACCCCTGAGCCTGGGCAGTAGGAACTGCTGCACACGAGCTGAGTGGGGCCGGCAGCTGCCCTCAGGCCAGACTTACCTGGATGCTCACTAGCAGGGTGGTCAGCAACTGCAGCTCCTGGGGTGACTGTAAGTTGATAGTGGCCAGCACTGGCCGGGAAAAGGAGGAGAGAGAGACTATTGTCTGGGAGCCAGCGACTGTCAGCCTGGGCCCCTCTCAGGGGACCTGTACAATGGCCTGGACACTGTCCCCTCTCCAACTAGAGGTCAGTGTGTCTCTGAGGCCAGGAGACGTATCTCGCTCATCTTGGTGATTCCCCTACTCAGCACAGAGCTGACGTGCCGGCCACTCCTTAAGCACCTGGCCTTGATGGACTGTGATTTTACAGCACAGTGTGCACTTCTGTTAATTGTTCTTCTGTGGGAACTGGAGCCTGATCTGTACATAGCACCCCAAGCAGCCAGGACAGGGTAACAACACCAGCAGCCTGGGGCAAAGGATCTGAGCGTGTCCATGATGCCTGCACCAATCAGAACTGTGAACAGCTATGCTGGAGGGAAAGGATGGTGAGGGCAGCAAAGGAAACCTCGTCATCCGCTGGAACAAGAAGTCAACAGGCAGAATTTGAAAGCAATGAATGCGGAGTTCTGTGCGCACATTGTTTAGAAATATGAAGGAAGATACCGAAGAAGTCAGAAGGCTTGAAAATGGCCATTTCTGGGAATGGGATGAGAAGCAGGCAACACTGTGTTCCTCCGTATTTTATTAATTTTTAGCCCATGTGGATGCATTTTTTTTTTTTTTGAGCCTCACTCTATCACCCGGGTTAGAGTGCTGTGGCATTATAGCTCACAGCAACCTCAAACTCTTGGGCTCAGGGAATCCTCTTGCCTCAGCCTCTCAAATAGCTGAGACTACAAGTGCCTGCCACGATGCCCAGCTAGTTTTTCTATTTTTAATAGAGACTGGCTCTCACTCTTGTTCAGGCTGGTCTCAATCTCCCAAGCTCAAGCAATCCACCTGCCTCTGCCTCCCAGAGTACTGAGATTACAGGTGTGAGCCACAGTGCCTGGCTTTAATTTTTTTTTTTTTTTTGAGACAGAGCCTCAAGCTGTCACCCTGGATAGAATATCGTGGGGCATCACAGTTCACAGCAACCTCCACCTCCTGGGCTCCAGTGATTCTCCTGCCTCCGCCTCCCTAGTAGTTGGGATTATAGGCACCCGGCTATTTTTTTGGTTGCAGCCGTCACTGTTGTTTGGCGGGCCTGGGCTGGATTCAAACCCACCAGCTCAGGTGTACGTGGCTGGCACCTTAGCCACTTGAGCCACAGGCGCAGAGCCAATTAATTTTTTTAATGAAAAAAATTTTCAGGCAGCAGGTGGCAGCAGGGGCACCAGGGCAGTGCCTGCAGAGAAGCAGAGGACACACAGAAAGCAGCCAGCCCCAGGAGACACCAGCATCCTCATCCTCACAGCGCTTGTCATCAGGAGACTGCCGAGTGCTAAAACTGTGCACCGGCATCACAGGTATCTCCAACTGTGGTCTGAAAGACCATCATCCTTTCAGACCCTGCATCACAGGTGTCTCCCCTGCATGGCCTTACCGGCTCCCAGCCTGCAGGGGCTGTGGAAGAAGCTATAGGGAAGCAGTGCCACCCTGTGGTCAACATGGGAATAGCAGCTGGTCCTTGTCCTGCCCTGAGATAGACGCAAGGTCTGGGTCCTTGACTAACTCGTGCTGTCTGGGGACAAGAGCCTTCTCCCCTTTCTTCCAACAGTCACTACCTAAGCCCCATGCCAGGCACTGCTGCAGGGATGGAGAGGTAGAAGTCTCTGCCTTTGAAAGGAGGGAAATGCAAAGGAGCCCAACAAAGCGCCATGGCACAGGTGGGGAGTCGGCAGGAGGCCCTGCTGACACCGCTAGGCAGCTGCATGGTCCTTTCAGACCACAAACTGGGGCCGTGTGTGAGAGTGCAACTGGACAGGCACACCCCCAGCCCCAGCAGGGCTCACCTCTGCAGTGGGACAGACAATGAACAAGCTACCCCAAATATCAGAAGGTAAAAGGCAAGCAGGAAAGAAGACTAGGGGAGCCCCAGGGGAGCTGCTATTCCAAATGGGGCACTCAGGGAAAGCCTCCCCATGAATTAAATGATCTCGGAGAGCACCACACTGCTCTCTGGAAGGAGTGCAAAGTCCCCGGGGCTGGGGGTCTCATGTATGCCAGGAACAGCAGGGAGGCCGGGAGGGTGGAACAGAGTGAGCAAAGGGGAAGTAGCAGCAGGACAGCTCTGCGGGCCAGAAGGGAGGCCCCTCCGGGTCAGTCTCAAAACTCACACTTCACTGTGAGCTGGGGATACCACAATCCAAGTGACATTTTCAAAGGCATACACACAGGCTGTTGTGTTGGGAAAAAGTCGCAGAGGAGTCCTTTGTATTAAAGGGAGGCCAGCCCAAATGCTACTGCAGTGATGCAAGCTAGGGACGATGTCACTGGTGAGGTGCAGAGACGTGTTTGGATTCCAGATGTGCGTGGAAGTTAAAGCTTAAGATGAAAAGGATGTGCTGACAGGGTACGTCGGGCACACAGCAGCGGAAGGCTGAGACTAGAAGGTTTGGGGCCAGCGCAGATGGGAAAGCAGCTGTACTATTCTAACTGAAGGAAGCCCGTGAGCAGGGCAGCCATCTGCAGAGGCTGATAGCAAGCACCCTGAGTTCTCAGCAGGGTGGGGGCCCAGCTGCAGGGCTGGTGAGGCTCCTCACTCTCTGGCATAGACCTCAGACCCTCTGCAGCCCAGTGCACCAGAGAAAGTCTTGCATGTGCCTCAACCCAGCCTGGGGGAGTAGACGCAGCCCACCCAGGGCAGCAGCAGCCGCCCACCCGCACAGCCTCCACGCAGGTACCTCCATGGATGATTCCCTTGCGCAGGCCGTCCTTGTTGTCTGAGGTGAAGAGCAGCTCCACGATGCCACGGTCCTCCAAGGCCTGCAGGGAAGAAAGAAGATAAGTCAACATGTGCCCTCGCTCTTCAGAACCTCTGCAGTGTCACACAGCTGGGGACGGGGTAGTCTGAAGAGGAAGGAGGAGAGACTCTAAATAAGCATTTATTTCTCTGCAGAAAACAGAAAAACCCCACCACATCCATGCCCGCCATTCTCATCAAAGCCCCAAATAGATTGAATTCCAGCCACACCGGGGAGAGGGCTGATCAGCTCTGGCAGCCCTTGGTGGCTCCAGATCTGGCATGGGTGTCAGCCTGACAGGCTTGCTGTTCCTCACCAGGCCCACTCCAAGGGTGGCTCCGAGAAGCCTGCTGCTACACTATCCCCAGCACCTGCTGGGCTCCAGCAAGGGGGTCAGGGCTCTGAGACAACATTCACATCCTCCCTTCACTCACATCACAAGTCAGCAGCCTGACCATACCCTATGCCGAACCAGCATGGGCTTAGTCAATGGTCATGCCGTTATGTGCCCAGAGGTGCTGCCCATGCCCAGCAGTGCTGCCCAAACCCAGCACGGCAGAAAGCATTCCTCAGAGGCTGTAAATCAGAGGACAAAGAAGTGGAAAAAACACACTGTGCTTGAGCATCAGTGACAGTTTGTTAGATCTGGCGGAGGGTTAACAGGTGGCAGGGAATGGGTAATGACAAAGAGCGGGAACTGAATTATAGCGAGAAGCCAAAACTGTGGCTAGGAACAAACAGGGGAGCCCCAGCTGACCTGGGACTCCGGACCATGCAGTCAACATTGCAGATTTCCTCTGCTCCCCCCATGGGTTCTTCAGGATGGCTGGGGAAGACCCAGGCATAAAAGGCATTTGTTATGTAACCCCAACCTGTCTGTCACTCCAAGAGCAGGAAATGGCAGGCAATCCTGCCAAGGGAAGGACAGGACAAACTAGTGAGGATATGAGACAGTGTGTGCTCAGACTTCAGTGGCGGAGGGCCCGTCTCACTCTTTGAGATGTTTTTTCCCTATACTTTCTTCTGCTATATAAATGTGCACATATGTGATTGCTTTGTATTTGTGATCATTCCGTCATCAGCTAGGCACTGGTGCTCGTTCTTCAGCAGTGGAGCCAAGAACCAGGGAACACCTAGCCAGCCCTAGCGAACTGTTACCACTCAGAATAAGTGCTAACATTTATGGAGAAAGTACTACCATGCCAGGCCTTCTGCTAAGCACTTTACACGGATCGACCTATTCAGTCTTCATTAGTATCATAATAACACAGCCGAAGAGGCTGAATCAGGTATCACAGGCTACAGAGCTGATGAGAGACCATGGGCCTGAACCCCGAGTCCACCCTCCCCTCAAAGGCTCCACTCCGGGGTTCTGGGCTCTTTTGCATCAAAAAAATCCAGCAAAGGGGATCTCCCTACAATCTTCTCTCCGGATACATAACAACACTGTTTATTTCAACTGAATTCTTTGGAAATTAGGGAGGAAAAGAGATAATCTGGTGGTCTGGTGTCTAGCTCATGTCTAATTCTACAAGCTAGTGTGGGGGAAAAAAAAACCCAGGGTAGCTGCAGTTCTCGGGTATGACACAAGGGGCAGAGTTTAATCGTGAGGCCAGGAGAGATTTGTATCAAAAGCCCTAGATCTCTCGGCTGCCTTGCCACTAACCAGTGTTGGGGCTCAGAAAACAGTACTCCAGGATATAGGCCTCAGAAGCAAAGGTTTTTCTCTGAGCTGCCTTCTCCCCCAAGGCCATAGAAACTAGAATCCCTCTTCCCCAAGGTGGACCATAGAAGTCAGAACCCCTTTTCTCACCATAAAACCTAAAATTCTTCTGGGCCTATATCTTGCTTGACCCCCATTCCCGAGAGGGCCCTGCCCCACACCCAAAAGGAAGAAATGCTGATCAGAGAGGCCAAGAAGAACCCAGACAGACGGGCCTCACTGGGCTTCCCCACTGTCTGTTAGCAGTAAGTCCTACATGCCCCTTTTGCCCAATCATAAGAAATATGTAGAAAACACAGATGACTATACTTTGTTGAATCTAAGAATAAAAATGGACGATGTCCCCTGTATCTTTTGGTCTTCATTCCCAAGGCTACCACATACACACATAAATTTGTATGCCTTTGTTCCCATTAATCAACCTGCCTCATGTCAGTGATTTTTTGGCAAACCTGTCAGGGGCAAAGTGCGTTGGTCCCTACACTAATTAGTCAGTGACATTTAACAGGCTTTCACACAGGTTCCTGCCATATCCGCGTGCACTTAACCTCTCCTGGCACTCGTTTACTGAATCTACCCTGTAAGGAGAACACTATTTCCTGAGGACACCAGTGTGCCAAGCCACCAGGGGCTTTGTGCCTGTGACCTCACACTGTCCTCACACAGCCTTAGACAAAGGCTTGTCCCTTCCGTGCACATGATGAAACTAAGACTCAGACAGGGGGCATGACATGCCCAAGGTCATCCAGTACTGATGCCGTCCCCAGAAAAGGTGCACAGCAGTTCAGGGGGGTCCTCCCGAGAGCTTCAGGGTGACAGAGGCTGGCACCGCTGCTTCTTTTTTTCCACCCGTATCACATGGGGCCCTCTGCCCCGACACCAGGGAAGCATGACTGAGCAGACCAGGTCCCTGAAGGGGCTACCTCTCCTCTCTGCCTGCTCAGTGGAGCTCTTCTTCCCTGCAGCTGAGTAATTAAGCGACAACTGCTGAGAAGCCCCAGGGTCCAAGAGATAATCTGCAGGAACTAGGTAGAGCAGGAGAGATAGGATCTTTCTAGCTAATTCAAAGACAAAAGGAAGCTGGAGGTGTGCCATCATTCCAGCTGGTTGGGCTCGGCCATCAGGACTGAACTTGCACCCCTTCCCAGCTTCAGGAACAGCACCTCTGGACACAGCCTCAGTCCCCACTGAGAGGGCTTTCTGCCTGTGACGAGAAGGACAGCCTGCAAGCTGGACTGTTTGAGCCTTGGTGTTGTTCCTAAGAACAAAATAACTTCTGGATGGAAAGTGAATCTTCACATGACAGCAGGAGAGACGTTGCTCAGGGACAAAGCCATCCAGCCTTCAGTCAAGTGGATTCACCAAGGCCACCTAACGTGTCCTCAACTCACACCACCACCAGACCTCCCAAGTGTGCTACACGAATGCCATTGATTCCATGAGGGGCTTCCGTATTGACAGCTTACTATGCACCTAAAACAGTACTGAGCTGCCTGATCCCACACAGTACTCCAATTCAGAGAGGCAGAGACTCTCATTAGTCCCACTTTATAAAAGAGAAAAAAGAGGTTTAGAGGGTGGCACCTGTGGCTCAAAGGAGTAGGGTGCCGGCCCCATATACTGGAGGTGGTGGGTTCAAACCCAGCCCTGGCCAAAAAAAAAAAAAAAAAAGAGGTTTAGAAAAATCAAGGCATTTTTTTCAAGGTCTCAGCTACTAAGTGACAGAAAACAGATCTGAATATTAGTCTGTTTTCTTTTTTAAGTGTTACTCTGCCCTTCCCTGATCTGTTGTATATTGAATCGTTGGTTCTCAACTTCCCTGACACATTGGAATTGGACATCTAAGACCACTCCAGAGGTTCTTATTTAATTGGGGCGGTATATAGCCACAGCACAGGGTCTCTGAAGCTCCCCAGGTAAAGCCAGAGAACAGCCACGGCTGGGAAGCTTTGCTTTAGATGCTGGAACGCGGACGGCCTTTCTAGGAGGCCTTCCCTGACCACCACTGCTCAGTCAAGCCAATTCCTTTATTCTTGGCCCCTGAAACACCAGGTGTACACAGTATTACCAAACTAAACACAGCCAATAAGGGGTAAATAAGTGATAACCCTGTTGAAATAAGATAATGGAGAAAAATTCAGTGATTAATGTATGTTGAGATGTGCAATTAATATGAGAGAAATATTAGACCCATATGTCACCCTATAGCCCGTGATATATTCCAGAGAAAGGAATATAAACAACCGGCCCGAGCTGACGCTTACCTTCTTGACGTAAGGCATGTACGCGGGGTCTTTGTAATAGGAACCATATTCATTCTCCACTTGCACAGCAATGATGGGTCCCCCGTGCTTGTACTGGGGAGAAGAGAGGAGCAATCAGAAGCTGAGTTTGAGGTATGATCTAACTTCACCATACCTGTCACCAATTACTACAAAATATCCCATTTGAAAACAAAAGTCTCAAAAGGTGTGGTATATAATTGAGAAGGACATCAGTAAGACAGTGCAGTAGGAAGCAGCAGGCCTCATTCTCCCATGGAAACAGCAAAGAAATAACTATCGATGCACTAAAATAATTTTATCAGAGCTCCGGCAACCAGTCATAGATCTAACCAAACATGCGAATACCCAATCAAAAAAAAAAAAAATCACATGCAAAAAGCGGTGGGAAGTTTTATGATGGTTTTCCCTTGCCCTTGCCCCACCCCTCCTTGGTATAGCAGGCAGGTGTAGCTAGGAGGAAGTGTCCCAATCCCCAGCTCCCTCCCTCAGGATGTAAAGCACAAAATGGAACTTGTTTACAATGTCCTGGCTTGTCTGTGGCTGCTCAATGTCTTGCCTGACTTGGAGCTCAGACAGGAAACAGCAGCATAATTTGGACATCAGGCTGGAAGCTGCAAAGGCAGTGGCAGATACCACAACATGTGAAACTGCTTGGGGTCCGCGAACTTGCAGAAGGCTGGGGGCAAGGAATTATGTGCATAAAAATATGATGAACATCTATCTCAGAACCCAACGAGAAGCGAGGGTGAGATTCTTTGGGGAACTGAAGTCATTTAAAAGCATACAGGAGCTAAAAAACCAAAATATATATATACACAGGTAGACACAGGACTACGTGCCCGTAAAAGATCTGAGATCTGCAGTCTTTACTGTAGGTTGATCTCCAGGCTCAGGGGCCCTTTAACTAGTGGAAGTCTTCCCTGCCAGTCTGCAAAGACTACAACAACAACAAAAATAAGACACACAAAGAAACAGAGAAACATGACTCAATCAAATGAGCAAACTCAACTTCCAAAAACAGTCTCCAAGGAAACACACACAAAAGACCTAGTAGAAAAAGACTTTATAACAATTATAAATATGCTGAAAGAGGTAAAGAACAAATCTGAAAAACGATATATGAACAGGATGAGACTATCAACAAAGAAACAGAAATTATAAAAAAAAGAACCACAATCATAACTTCTAAATTTTATAATCCACTGGAGGAGTCCAACTGCAGGCTCAAACAGGCAGAAGGAAGACTAAGTGAGGCTGGATTGGGCAATGATTTCTTGGATATGGCACCAATAGCAAAACAACAACGAAACATAAATATATTGGACTTAATGAAAATTTTTAAAAAATTGTGCATAAAAGGATACTACCAACAGAGAAGGCAACACACGGGATGAGAGAAAATACTTGCAAATGGTAAATCTGATAAGAAGTTGATGCCCAGAATGTATAAAGAATGCCTATCACTGAAAAATAACAAAAAACCAGGTTCAAAAATGGGTAAAGGATTTGAATAAATTTTTCTCCAGAGATATACAATGAGCTAAAACATGCTCAGCATCACCAGCCACCAGGGACACGCACATCAAAACCACAGTGAGGTAGTACTTCACACCTGTTAAGACGGCTCTTATCAAATAAGCAGAAAATAATGAGTGTTGGTTAGCACCTAGTAGAATTGGAATGCTGTGCACGGCTGGTGGGAATGTAATATATGGTGTGACTTCTGGGATAAACAGTTTGACAAATTCCTCAAAAATTAAACATAAAATTACAATTTGATCCAGCAATTTCACTTTTAAGTATATGTGCAAAAGAAATGAAAGCAGATAATCAAAAAGATATATATATATTTTCAGTTTTTGACCAGAGGAGGGTTTGAACTCCCCACCTCTGGTATACGGGGCCGGCACCCTACTCCTATATGAGCCATAGCTGCCGCCCCCAAAAGGTATTTTTGCACCCATGTTCACAGAAGCATCCTTGTAGTAGCCAAAACATGGAAGCAGCCCAAGTGTCCACTGATAGGTGAAATGGATGAACAAAGTGGGGTGTACACATACAGTGGACTGCTATTCAGCCTCAAACAGGAAGAAATTCTGATGCATACTACAACATAGATAAACCCTGAGAACATTATGCTGAGTGAAATGAGCCAGTCGCAATACTGTGATTCCATTTAGAAGAGGTAGCTAATATAGTCAGATTCATACACTCAGTAGAATGATGGTTGCCAGAATCTACAGAAAGAGAAAACTGGGGAGTTTAAATGAGTATCGAGTTTCAACCAGGGAAGATAAAAAAGGCCTAGAGATGGACAGTGGTTACAATGAAGTGAATGTCAGTGTTCCCCCAAAATTCATATATTGAAATCTTAACCCCCAACATGATGGTATTAATTTGTGGGGCCTTTGGGAAGTGATCATGGGGGTGGAGCCTCCATGAATAGAATTAGTGCCCTGAAAAAGAGACTCCCAGAGAGCTTCTGATTCTGTCATGAGGAAAAGAAACAGAGAGAGGAATCTGCACTGGGGAAGAGAGCTCTCCCCAGACACCCAATCTGCCAGGGCCTTGATCTGGACTCTCAGCATCCAGAACTGTGAGAAATAAATGTCTGTTATTTGTAAACCACAGGGCTTAGTTAGAGTAGCCCAAACTAAGATTGTGATGATAGTTGCACAACAATGTAAAATAACGTAATCCCACTGAACTCTATGCTTAAAAATGATTAAAATGTCAAAGTTGATGTTATATATTCTTTACTACAATAAAAAAAATTAAACTAGTATGTCATATCTAGGGTAGGGGGAAGCTTTGAAACTCTATTCCCATGTCTACAGATGTCTCTGACCCACCCTCCCGGGGTGGCCTTCCCCACTGTTCCCCAACCACCGATGGCACCACAGCTCGCTGAACCATGTGAGCCACCCCACCTCCCCTGCACGACCTTGGCTAAGAACTTCCCAGCTTCTTGATTCTTTCCCAATTAGGGCTGCGAGATTTCATAAAAAATACAGGACACCCAGTTAAATTTAAATTTACAATGAATAATTTTTATATAAACACTGAATAATGTTTTCGTATAAGTATGGCCCATACAATACTTGGGGTATAGAATACCAAATATGGGAAGAGAATACCAAAGCTTCTTCCTACCCCCGGTATGAGGATTAAATTAATCCTTGCTTATCTGCAATTCAAATTTAACGGGTTATCCTGTGTTTTACCTGGCACGTCCCTCTGATTTATGTGTACTGTGAATATTCCGTTAAACCACTGGCTTAAGAGAAATTTTTACCCATGCACTAATTTTTTGTTGATGTACCAATCTCTCAAACTCATTCTTCATATTTTTACATAAGCAACTGGGTTGATTTTTTACATGCCTATTTTATTATTGCTTCTAATGATGACATAAAATATTAAAATACTTCCCGCTAAAATTTATTTTAACACATATGCTTTGAATAGCAAATGGGTACCATGCAGCACCCTTTTGGTAGCAGAGGGAAGTACCCTGAAAAGTCATCTACCAGAATTTTGTAATTTATTAGAAGAATTTACACAAAGTCCTGTGTCTAGTAGGCAAGGACTGATCCACATGTGGCCCTCTCTGTGCAGAACTGAGCCACTTTGCTGCCGGGATGGTAATAGACGGGTATTCCTGGCTATCCAGACATCCCTGCGGGTCCATCACAATTTCAGCTCCAGCACTGCATAGAGCTACAGGATCCACCTGTCTGTCCTTATCAGCCCTGAGCCCCCTGAGACAACACTGAAAAGCACAGGACATTCAAAGACAACTAGTCCAAGCCCCTCAGCAATTATAAATCTCAGTGAATGGGGAAGTGTCTCCCTAGGATGAAAAGAAAGGACAACCCCAGTAGAAGAAAGGTGAAGATCCCAGAAGAGTCAGGCTGCTTGTACCTGGAGCGGCACCACCCTGGACATCAGGTGATCAAAATAGAGGTCCACTGCTTCGGTGAAGCCCTTGTAGGTCGTTCTCAGCCTCATGCCAGGGTCTTGAAGTAGCCAGCTTGAAGGGGAAAGAGGGGAGGGAGGATGCTATAGTCACTGTCAGAGGGTCTACGATGGCTCAGGAGGAGTGAGAAGGGGGCAGCTTCAGAGGGCTCAGGACACTCTCACCCACCCCCACCTCCCTCAGCTTGTGCTGGGGTCCCACCCCAGGGGCAGAGTCCTTTAAGACCTGTGGAGCTGGAGGAGGTTAACTGCAGAAAAGTAAAGTTAGAAGCAGCAAGAGATAAAGAGACAGGACACACAGAGTAGAATTTTCAAAGGTGGGAAACACAGGGGCCGTCACCATTAGTGGGGTTCCAGCAAGTGGCCCTGAGTGTTTGTTCCACTCAGCTTTTATTGAAGGCTATTTCCTCATTAGCCCAGAGGGTAAGCTGAGGAAGGGAACAAAGACATCAGTAGTTTCTCTAGTAAGCAAGTCAGCTCCTAGTATTTCTATAATCATTAACTTTAAGGGTCTGAGTAGCCTTGAGCAATCCGAAACCTGAGCCTTATGTGGGGGCAGCCTCCTGTCTTTGGTCACACACACTGATTCCTTGTGGGGAGGGGAGGGTTAATCACCAAATCACCACGAGCTCACTGTGGAGTAAAATGCCACCAGTGTCAGTCTCCTCTGAAGAATCAGTGGGAAAGAGGAACTTTCCTCTCAACTCCAATCAAGAGGCTTTTTCCCTCTGTTGTAAGGGTATAAAAGTTCTCCTGCCCATATTTCAGGGCTGGAGCTGTTCCCTTGATCTCTGCCCCAGCCATAACACAAATCCCCACAATGGGTATTTGCTTTGGTTGTTGATTGGGCAGGAAACAGCCTAGTTAATGTTTCTTGCCAGGCCTTGCACATACCTTTCTCTTCAGCCACTATTTCTTCAGAGTGTTTACAGACCCATAGGGGTGTTTGTAAGCTGTATACCCTACAGGCCAGGCTTCTAGGAAAAGCAGGAACTGCTCAGATGAGAAATTTTGCAGCTGATTTAAAAGTAAACTAGCTCCCCTGTTTTTATTCCATCTTGCTCAGCTTATTTCTCTGTTTTTCCCTTTTTCTGGAGGTGTTTTCCCTTGCCAAAAATGGGGTCTTTGGTCCCCAATCTGCCTGCAAGCCCAGAAGCTTCAAGATGCACAAACTGATGCCCTGGACTCCCACCTGCACTCCCACCTGCACACTCCCATCTATATACTCCTACCTGTGCTCCCACCTGCACTCCCACCTGTGCTCCCATCTCTACACTCCCACCTGCACACTCCCACCTACACAGTCCCATCTATACACTTCCACCTACATACTCCCTTCTATACACTCCCACCTGCACTCCCACCTTCACTCCCACCTACACACTCCCACCTGCACACTCCCACCTGCACACTCCCACCTGCACATCCCCACCTGCACACTCCCACCTGTACTCCCACCTGCACTCCCACCTTGACTCCCACCTGCATTCACACCTACACACTCTCACCTTCACTCCCACCTGCACTCTCCAACCTGCACTCCCAGCTGCACACTCCCATCTTCACTCCCACCTGCACTCCTACCTTCACTCCAACCTGTACTCCCACCTTCACACTCCCACCTGCACTCTCACCTGCACTCCCACCACTCCCACCTTCACACTCCCACCTGCACTCTCACCTGCACTCCCACCACTCCCACCTTCACACTCCCACCTGCACTCCTGCAGCTTTCAAACTTTCTGTCCCAAAGACGTAGCCCTGGGGGAAGCTCATTTCCAGCTTCACAGGTACAGGTCCTGGCTGCCAGGCAGTGAGAAAAGCTCTTCACAGGCCTAATTTTCAATCATTTATTTTTTTGATCCCATCATAAAGGAGTGACGTTAAAAGGGTTAGGAATCACTAGGGCTGGAGACAGACGTGGACACAACCTTCCAGCGTCACCCATAAACACAAGCCTGATTTAGAGACAAGGGGCTGACAAGGGTCTGGCTTCTGTGCCTGCTGACACGTGGCATTAGCCTTCTCTGCTATGCAGAGTTCAGCCTGGGAGCAGCCTGGGAGCAACAGGACAAATTCTTTCTCCAACTTGTTGTTGTGATTCCCAAACTCCGCAGAGGAACACAACACCATGGAGCAGCTCCCAAGCGGGACTCAGGTGTGCCCTTCCCACCCTGCTCATTTGAAGTTCAAGAAAACACTCCCATTTACTAATAGAAGGTTCTGGGGCACTCTGGTCCTGATCTGGGAATCCTAAACAGTGTCAGGGAATTATCCAGTTTATGTTGGTAAAACAATGGATGAGGAGAGAGCTATTTCCTCCAGACTGATACCTCCACATTTCACTTTCCTTCAAAGGGGGCAGACTTCTCCCCAGGTCCTCAAGAATGGGCAGGTGGGGGGGGGGTGTCTGAGTGGCAGAGCTCCCCTCTGCTTCTAAGTTAAGACTGTTAAACCCTGTCGTCCTCCTGTGCCCGGCTCCAGCTGAGCCTGAAGAAATCGCTGACGGTGGCACAAAGATTCCTAATCCGGGAAGGGGAGGGGGTGGACACTGGCTTCATGCACTAAGAACTGGCCCTGGGTATGGAGGATGGACAGGCAGAGGCTGTGCCCCCCCAGAGAAGGGCAGGTCACTTTGGAAATAAGGAGGAAAACACGGTCCCAGGAACCCACAGGATCAGCCTTCTCCCCACTTGGGGCAGCATGGGGTGGGGACCTGGTGTAAGAGACTAGGAAAGATTATGCCTGTTAAACAGGAAAATCTTCATGACAATATGAGGGTGAGGAGTGACTGTGGCCCCAGCTGATCCCTGACCAGATTTCTGCTCAACATCAGCCAAGACTATACCCAGCAAGAAAATATGGGCCTGGGATAGAAAGACAGAGCAATAACCACAAGTTGTTTCTCTTCTACTTTAAATACTTGGACTCTTCAAGTATCTTAACAACATCCCTAAGAAATACACAAAGCAGGTCAGGCTTCTCCCCATGTGTAAAGAGAGGAAAAGTGAAGTCCAGCAGACAGCTGACCTGGGAAGGAGGAAATGTCAGAGAGGGCCCTTCCCCTGCGACCTGCCACATAATGAAATCCCAAATCCGAGCAGACTTTTCGAGGGCAGTAACCGCCACCTCATCCACATGACCCCCTTGGGGTGCCACTCATTCTGAAAGGGAAATTCAGTACAGAATGGAAACTGTCACTTAAAAGCCAAAGTAGATCTATGTCTCTGAGCATTGTACACGGGTCCCTCAAGCCACCCTGGAGCCCCTCACACTCCACGTACCTGGGCAAGCCCCCAAGGTCAATCTCACTGCAGATGTAGGGGCCTGGACGCAGAATCACCCACAGCCCGATCTCTGCAGCCAACAGGACAAAGGCCCTGGGGAGTAAACAAGTCAACACCTGCCATGACAGTCCAGGGCAGAGGCTGGGCGGCACAGCCACCCTGCTCCTCTCTGCATCTCCCTCTCCCAACCAGGCAGTCTGGGGTGAGGGAAGCCCCCCAGCACAGCAGGGAATCCCACACCAGCCCTGAGGTCAGAGCTGCTCCAGACCATCCACACAGCCCCTTGAGGCCTGAGGAGGAATCAGACAGGGCACAGGGGTTTAGACTTTGAGCCTGAACCCAGCGACCTTGCTCCACTAGAGGGGCAGCCCCAGTCTCAGCCCAGATGCAGGACTCCCCTGCAGAGTAGGCAGCACCTGGGGTCTTTAGCCCCTCTCGGCTGCCATGGAGAGTGGGGCCCAAGATGCTGCAGGCCCAGCCCTGCAGGTGACAGGCCATGTCTGGAGAGCATCTGGGTCCTGGTTGCAGGGCCTCACAGCACCCTGAGAACAAGGCTCCAGACCCAGGTCCCTCTTGGGCTCTCTCCAGCTCCTAATCCACCCAAGTAGCCTCCTCTCTGCCCCTCCCCGGGCCGGGTCACAGAGGCAGCAGCACCACGTACTCCAGGTCCAGGTTCCCAGAGAAGTCGAATTTGCCTCTCTGGGGCTCGTGCAGGTTCCAGGGAACGTAGCTGGAACAGAAGAGATAATTAGAGGCAAGAGCTTGTCATTCTTTCATCTTCACCTCCCAAATTGCCTTCTTCATCCTTAAAACCCACTATGGTGGCTGCCCATGAGTTTCCCAATGACTTCAAGACTGGAACCAAATGCCAACCGAACAGAGCCTAGGCCAGCCCTGGGAGGCTAATGTCTCTTAGGAGAAGGGGAGAAATTCAACAAGGTTTGGGTGAAGGAAGATGTGCTTTGTAAGAGGCCTGCCTGCCATCCCCACCCCCTATCAGCGAAGAAGAAATCATTGTATTTAGAAATTTTTTTTTAAAACCAGCTAAAAGTAGGTGAAAGGAAACCTTAGTTGTAAGTCCTATCATTCCCGAGGCATCCAGAATTCCAAACCTTGCGACAGAATGGAGGGTCTAACTCTAAAGAGACAGTGAAGAGATGAAGTAAGCTTTGGAAGGGCCCAACCTCAGAGGCAGAAGGGCGACCCCTAGAGGAGTAACAGTGACCACAGCCGCTCTTCTCCCAGGCCCCCCTCACTGCTGGCTTCTGCTGGCGACCCCTCCAACTGTCATAACATTCACAGGTGGAGCAGGGGGCCACTGTCTGGCCTCTAGTTCAGAAGCAAGAGTTCTGTATTTAAGCAAACACAGGCTGCCCTGCTTTCGTAAGGCAGAAAGCCATGCTTCCCCCTGCACTATCCCTACCCCTTCACAAGTCCTTTCTGGGAAGTCACACACATTTGTCTCAACAATACTCAAAACATTCCCATAACCCTTTTAGGAACTGTCTTCAAAATCAGTTCACAGACCACCCCAGAAAATCCACTTCCCTGATTTGTAATCACCTATTTTTGCACAAGAATGGGATAACCCACCCTGATAACTCACTTTAACTTACAGACTTAGAACCCCATATCTGCTGGCAATTTGGGAAAAAAATAAAATCCACAAAAATACCCTGATGGTTCACAACTGAGCATATTGTTTTAAAGGATGCACACTGACGTTTCACTGAGTGCCTACCAGATGCCCGCCCCCAGGCTAGGGGCTGGCACGTTAACTATCGCTTTCTGAAGCCTCTTCCAGGAAAGAAGTGCTGAAAATTATGAACAGAGCTCCCAGGTAGCTATTCCGAAGAAGGCTACCCGCAAATGCTGTATAAGTTGGGGGTGGGGAGTTTGTTTGTTGGAAGAGAAAAAAATCGGTGGCTGTCATTGAATCACTTCCTCCTTTCATGTACTGCTTCTGTGGTTCCTCTAGACCCCACATCCACTCCATGTCCCCTCATGCCCATTACCAGGGAGTTCTGTGGGGATGGGGCAGAAGGAAGACCCTGCCCCTTGGGCTCTAAGCAGAAGGCTGGGCTCACTCCCCTCATATCCTTCCACACGCAGACACCAAGCACCCAACTTGGTAACCAGGCTTGGTGGCCGGGGTTGGGAAGGGCACGCACGTGGTGAGGGTGTTCAAGCCGCAGGCTTTCATCTTCAGAAGGCGGTCCCTCCAGTATTCCTTGGGCACCCGGAAATAGTGGATGGAGCCCCCGAAGATCCAGAAAGGGGCATCCTCCAGTATAAAGTTCTGGCCTTTTGCCTGCAGCCCCAGCTGCCGCTGTTGGAGCCATGGTGGGATCAGAGAACTCCAGTTCAACCTGCAAAGAGACAGGGCATTTCTGGGGTGTTGGGGCTCCCCAGCAGCAGAGGCTGGAGGCCCAGGGAGGACACAGGCTTCCCTCGCAGGCCCTCAGGGTCTCTAAGGAGGGCCTGCTTCCAGGGTAGCCAGGAAAGCGCCCACCCTCCGACTCGCCAAACCTTGGCCGGGGCGTTTCTTCAGCATGGTTCACTCGGCTGTGCCCGGCTGCAGGGGAAGGACAAGTGGACGCCACAGCCAGGGACAAGATAAACACAAGACTCAACATGGAGGCTGGTGCGCTAAGAGGAGAGAGGACGAGGCGGGTCAAACTGCACGGGAAGGGTGTTCTCAGCGAGCTGGGAGGCTCTGTCTAGCGCAGACTCGGGGGCAGGTGCTGCACGGGCTACCAGGGCCAGCTCTGCCACCGGGCTGCTGAACTAAACAGGAAGGCGGCAACTACTCGGGACAGTACCTCCGAGCCCCCTCGCGGCCACAGCTGCCCAACGCAGACTCAAGGTGAAGATATCTGGAAAGAGGCATCTGGGTTAAACCGCATCTACTCACCGCTCAGATTGCTAGGTCTGAATTACTTTCTGAAGCTCAAGCATCCGCCAAGAGATGACCCACCATGACACACAGTCCCACCCAGGAAGGCCACCAGACAGTCTGAGTCCATGAAAAAGCACCTCCAGGCATCTCACTGGCTGGCTGAGGGGCCCATCACTTTGATCCCAACGCCTCGGTGCCCACAGAATCCCTCCCTCTTTCCCACCTAACACCCTGATGGCCATGAGAGAAAGCAGGGGACCTGGGGATGTGGAAATTTCCAGCTAGAAAGTTTAGGAAAGTCGGAGACAGGAAACGAAGAATAATAAGGAGCATGGGGTCGCAGTGGTGCCTCACCCCGTTCCCCTTACAGCTGCTGACACTAGGGGGCGTTGCTAGGCAGACTCCTCTGCACAAGCAGCCTGAGTGTTACAGGAGGGACTGGGGTGAGTTTGAGGGCCCAGATGGCCAGAGACGGGAGAGCAGGATGCCGACAGGGCAGGTGGCACAGACGTCAGTGACCATTTGGGAGCTCTGTCTAGGGCCACTTACGGACAAAGAAAATTATTTGTTACCTACGTCTTCCTACTCTTCACAGCCCTTGGGTTTTATAGCTCACACTAAATCGATGGAACCAAAGTTCTACTTTACAGATGTAAGGGTCATCCATGGAACCCAATCAGCATGCCTCTCCTTCTCCAAAGAAAAAAGGATCAGGTCGGCACCTGTACTCAGTGGTTAGGCCACACGCAGTAGGCCTGGTGGGTTCCAACCCAGCCCAGGCCTGCTAAACAACGTCAACAACAACAACAAAAAATATCCAGGCCTTGTGTTGGGCGCCTGTAATCCTAGCTACTTGGGAGGCTGAGGCAAGAGAATCGCTTAGCCCCAAGAAGTTTAAACCCAAGGTTGCTATGAGGTGTGACGCCACGGCACTCTACCAAGGGTGACATAATGAGACTCTGTCTGAAAAAAAAAGGAACATGATCCAATGTGTGACTTGCAGATGACATTTTAGAACACAGTTCTTCCCAAAGATGACCTATATGAGAAGAACACAAAAAGCTATCTGGAAGAGGGAGTTCTGGGTGTGAGTCCTGGCCCACGCTTGGTAATGACATCAGTTTCACCTTGGATTAATGACATCAGTTCTGAGGGTAGGAGGGCTAATGCCTGTCCCAACTTCTCAGAAAGGCTGTCGTGAGGTCCCAGTAGAAACAAAATGCCCCAAGATGCACGATGAAAGCATCTTATCATTATTCAAAGTACATTTATTTAAATATGGAATGATCCTGGCCCTCCCACTTTCTGCATTTTCGACCTATATTTTATGGGTTAAACTTTATGCCAAGTCACTTATTGCCGTTTCTAAAATTTTACAATGAATCTGTACACATGCTGTCAGACTAACCCAGCCCCTAGGCCAGGGTTGGCCAAATCCAGGCTGCCCTCTGTCTCTGTGCAGCCTGCAAGCTGAACATGGTTTTCACATTTTTAAGGGGTTAAAAAAAAAAACAAAAAGAACAATATGTGGGGATACAAAACATCGTATGAACTTCACAGCTCAGTGTGGGGTTTCATTGGCATGCTGCCACCCACATGTTGACCTTCAGCTGCCCCGGGGCGCGGGTACGTGGCTGCAACAGAGACCCCACAGCTGCAAAGCTGAAAACACCTTGGTGCTGAGGCACAGTGGTTACGGCGCCAGCCACATACACCAAGGCTGGGGGGTTCAAACCCTGCCCAAGCCAGCTAAACAACAATGACAACTGCAACAAAAAAATAGCCGGGTGTTGTAGTGGGCGCCTGTAATCCCAGCTATTTTGGAGGCTGAGGCAAGAGAATCACTTAAGCCCAAGAGTTTGAGGTTGCTGTACTGTGATGCCGTGGCACTCTATCAAGGGCAACATAGTGAGACTCTGTCTCAAAAACAAAAAGCCTGAAAACACCCCCACTGTCATAGATGAAGCCTTGGATTGCTAAGACAAGGGGCTCAAAGTCCCCTCTGGGCCACTACCTGGGCCTCTCACTGAGCCTTCCTGGGACACTCCTGCCCTTACCTGGCCCTTTCCTTTCTCTAAATTCCTGATTATTCTGACTTTGACTGAAGTTCCCCACACCTTATCCAGCTCTTACCTTTGTTCATAAGCTCCTGACTGTTCTGGCTTTGTCTCAAGTTCCCCACACCTCAGACACAGGATAGTTTGTGTCCCCACCCCCTCCCCCCCCGGTTGACCACACTTGCTCCTAAGAACACTCTGCCTCCTGCTCAGTCCTTCCTGCCCCAGCACTCACCAGCTCCCCTGCCCTTGCTCCTGAGGCTCTCCGAGGACCTTGCAGGGCTCACCCCAGGCTAGTACGAGCAAGGACTCGATGGACAGATTATTTTCTTAAAAATAGGGGCCTTTTGACAATCTTGTGAAAATACACACATACACAATCTTATTGTTTTTAAGACAGTATTAATAGAATTTAGTGATCATTGCACTGGGCAGCAATCCTTGTTTTCTGTCCCAAACTTCATCAGCACAGTCTCCAATTACCAAAGCACACATCTCTGATCCCAGTTCCTCTCTCTGTGTGTGACAGCCACCCCCCTCACCTGCTAAGTACAGAGGTACAGGCAGGATGGAGGCACCTCTCCAGAACCCCAATTCCAAGATAGTCCCTGCTAGTAACAAACACCCTTCATCTGGCCCCTTGTCCCTGAGTAATCATCAGGAAACCTGCCCCTAGGTGGCTTCTCCAGGGGCAGCTACAAACACGAGCAGCATCGAGAGCACCAAGCATCGAGCATCATCTACAATAGAAATGTAGAAACTCCAGCCTTCCTGGGGACCTCATGAATCAAAATGTGCATTTCAACCAGATCCCAAGGTTCAAACTCGAGAAAAGCCAATCTCTATCTTCTCCTTCGACGTGTGTGCACAGTCTGTCCCGAGGTAGAGCTTCCCTTTGATAGAGTCTTTATATCCTACCATTTGCTAAATTTTTGAAAAAAAATCTTTTTCTCAGTGTTTATCAAGTGGCATGAAATAAACACTGCAAACAAACAAACAAAAAAAGGCTAGCTTATATCCAATTCAAAATTCTCAAAATAATTCAACTGCTTCCTTCCTGGAAATGTTCTGATGGATTACTAAACAAGTTGTTAATCCAATAAGAAAAGGGGTAAGCTCACTATGAAAATGAGGGTGAGAAATACTGGGTTTCTCCAAGGAATTCACGGTGAGAAAATGAGATGATTTAAGTGAGAACTTCACGAACAACAAAGCACCATGCAAATGGTTATTAACACTGATAATATTCATTAATACTAATGATCATAATATTAAGAATAACTCCCATAATTTTCCGAGCAACTCAGTCATAATAAAATAAAGGCAGTATCAACTGTGTGGTTGTATCTGATTGGTTTACAGGTCAGAGAGAGTTGACTCTTCATTTTGACCAGAAAGCCAATCCGATCTAAGGAAGTCCCCTGGGTTTCTGTCGCTTTTCCTAGTGAGCGGCTCATTCCTTGTGAAACCAGGGACGCCTGTGTTCTTTCAAGCTGGAGCTTATACTAACATCTGGAATTCTGCTGCCTTTGCACCTGGGTTGCACTTTAGGGTGACTTCTTGGGGTTAGAATACATTGGACAGCAGGCCCAGACCACGGACCTGAATTCAGTGTCCAGGTTTCCTCTCCTCCTCCACCAGGTGACGAAAGTGGCCGTGCCCTGGTCTGAGGTCATGGTGCTGAGGAAAGCACGTGTGTCAGGACTTCTGATGGGGCTTCAATGAAACAAGCCTGCTACACTCATCCCCACCAATTCCCTTAGCAGGTGGAAATGGGGCACATGGTGGAGGAGGATGTGCAAGACACAGATACAAAAAAGCCGGCTGTGACGCAGCACTGAGCAGAGGACGCAGGTCCTGACTTCTGCTGCACCTGCGGTGAAGACCTGCCAACCGGCTGTGGTTGGTAAGGAAGGGCAGAGGCTGAAGCTCCCTGTGGTATTTTATTCTTAATCACTGACATGGAGCGTGAGGACAGAGGGTACAGGGCAGGTTCCAGTGGCCAGGATGCCCCGGGGTAGACATGTGTGGATGGAAAGAGGCAGATGCAAGTTGTAACGTCACTATCTCTGCCACAGGGATTGACTAAAACTTCAGAGAGGGTCGTGCAGGGCAGCTGGGTGGGAGGAGAGCCAGTCCCCGTCTCCCCCCGAAGGATCTCCTTGAGTGAGCTGTGCCGATCAGGACAGTCCTGAAATGCCTCTTGCCACTCCCGCGGGCACACTCGCTTCACCTATAGACTCTGCAAACACCCATCAGTAATCTGTGGTGCCGGGAGGCCTCCCTAAGGCACAGTCATCACTGTCAGTGGTCTGTTCTACCATGCAGAGTATGACCAGATGGGCCAGGATCCAGCAGGGACAGCACCTGGAGCGCCTGGAGCACTCGGGCAATCTGATCCGGCCAAGGGTGC